TGTCTTTGCTTGTACAATGTGTTATTTTCAACTACATATTGTATACCGCATACTTTTCAAAACCTAATAAATACTTTGAAACTGAGAAAGTTGTTCTCAATCAAGAACAGCAGGGCCGGGCTGGGGGAGTGGCCATAAAACTGACCGTGGGAGATACAGGCACACATTGCATCGGCACTATGTTCTGTATCCCTGAGCAGAAAGCCCAGGGATGCATACTGAGAACTAGGAAATCAAAGACCAGCTGAGTGTATTATCAAGATACAACCGTTTTACTGTATCTTATGGCAGCCTTCTCTCTGAGGTGCCTTCTGGCTTCCTCAGGGCTGCCTCAAAGTTTTACAGTGTTATGCTTTCTGTTGGACAGTTGGGCTGGTCACCAGCACCATGTAAATGAATTACTCTAATACAGGGAGGGTGGGATCTATTCATAAAAGGATGGAAGTTCTTCCCCGTCCAGGCCTGCTCACTCTCTGCCATGTTGCTGCTGCTGCAACTCCCAATGGGATAGTGGGACACATGTTAAGGGGAGACTGAGGACTCAGTTGTGAAGGGGGGACTGCAAATCCTAACGTGAAGGGGGGACTGAGAATCCTAATGTGAAGGGACGACTGAGGACTCAGATGTGAAGGGGGGACTGAGGATCCTAATGTGAAGGGATGACTGAGGACTCAGATGTGAAGGGGGGCTGAGGATAATAATGTGAAGGGGGGGACTGAGGATCCTAATGTGAAGGGAGGACTGAGGATCCTAATGTGAAGGGAGGACTGAGGATCCTAATGTGAAGGGACGACTAAGGACTCAGATGTGAAGGTGGGACTGAGGATCCTAATGTGAAGCGAGGATGGAGGATCCAGATGTGAAGGGGACTAATGCTGTAAAGAGGGCTCCTAATGTGAAGGAGGGGATTCTAATGAGAAGGGGGCTTGTGATGTAACAGGGGGTGGGGTGCCTTAATACTTTCCATCCTTTCAAAAGGTGCCATGACTGAAAAATGGTTGAGAAATGCTGTCCTAAGGTACAATTAAAATTGTATGTCTATCATTACTCTCATAATCAGCAATTCCATTCTGTGGAGTTTGTTACTGTGTGTTTTGTAAATTGTACACAAAACCATAAATGAAAAGGTCACGCAGATGTGTTTCTTCGCGTCTACATAATGTGCAGGACACGGCTGGCAGTGAAATGTGAGTACACAACTATTTATTAAAGCGTGTCTAAACCCAAAACCAATAATCATATATACTGCAGCATAGTCCATATATATGGTGGCTGCATTAGTTTCATTCATTCAGACTTTTTCCCTTTATTTGTACCTGGTAATCTTGCCAGTAACATACTGTAGGCTCAATTCACAAAACCTTAACACGTGAATAAGGATTTTTATTTTAGCCATGTGATTGTAATGTTTAAATCTCTTTGGGCCCAGCTGAATATAACCGTTACATTTTTGCCAATAAAAATTTGAATCCTTGTGTGTTAGCTTTGTGAAAGCCTTTTCTGTCCTAGAGTGACAACACTCACTCACTGTATAGTGTCTATGTAGAAGCAGCGGCTGCTCCAGATATGGACTACAAGCACTTCCCCCTTTCTCATCTCCATCACATAGGAGGTGTTTTGAGTGTTTTGTAGTTCACGGAAGATAGGTGGACAAGTTATTAACATTGTTTGAGATATCAGCTTCCAGTGCACACAAAGTTACAGACGCTCGAACTCTGGCAAAATCAACAATAATATTTATCTGTATCTGTACTGTATTTTTTTGTACAGGTATATTAATATTTCTGTACTATTTTCTGAAAAAAGTAAACTAACCCAGCCACCACATCTAACTACTGGTACAGTGCAAAGTAATTTTTTGTTCTTTGGTTTAGGTATCTTTAAATTTCAGTTAATATGAGAAGTACATTCTACCGTACATGCTGCATCAAGTCAAATGAGCCTCGTTCAAATATTCAAAGACCTAAACTCTATGATTACAGTGTATGGTAGTGGCTTTCAAAGTGTGCCCTGGGGGCCACAGTTATTACGGAAGTATGCACCAGTTGGTATGCACTATGTGCTGGATTCTGATTGGGTGCTATTATTTACTGCACTTAAAGTAGATGAAAAGGCAATGTACAACCAACAGCCCGCCCGAATGGTACCTGTTATAATGTTTTTTTACCCACTGGTGTTCACTTGTTAAATTTAATCACCTTAAAATGAGGTGTTATCTGCAGTCATGTGACTGCTAACCTGCAATTCTAGTCTTTTCATTGCTGAGCAGTGAGCAAAATTTCCTTAGGGACTAATGTCAAGACAGGAAGTGATGTCACCACCTCAGACTCCACTTCCCCTGAATGTTTCCAAGGCTTCCAGTAGGTTCTGCAGTCACCTGACCGCTAACTTGCAATGCTAGTCCTTTCCTTGCTGAGCAGCAGCCAAAAATTTCCCTAAGGCTGGGTTCACACCTGGGCGTTTTTCAGCTCTGATTGAAGCGCTGATAAACGCTCAGCAAGTGAAATCCCATTATTTCCTATGGGCATGGTTCCCACCAGGGCGTATTTCAGCGCGTCGAAACGCGCTGAAAAATGCCCTACTTTCAAACAAGTACAGTAGCTTCTTTGGGGCGTATTTCCACGCGTATACATTAGGATACAGCCGGATAGCTCCCGTAAACGCGCGTTTGACACGCGTTTCATGGTAAAAATGCGCGTCATACGCGCATGTTTTGAATGCCCAGGTGGGAACCCAGCCTAAGGGATGACGTCAAGACAGGAAGTGATATCGCCACCTCAGACTCCACTTCCCCTGAATCTTTCTGTGGCTTCTAGTAGGTTTTGGTGGAGCTCAGACACACAGCCCATGTGCAGTGAGTGAGGGAGGAGCTGTAAATGCCTGTGCAGTGAAGGGTACCCAGAGAAATTGCATAGTAATGAAGCGGTGGAGCTTCCGCGTGCCAACAACACTTGGGGGATTTTTCAGTATCGGGTAAATAGCGTTGGCTTTGGGAAAAAGCAATACTCAGGAAGCTGGCAGGTTCACCAGGCAATTTCTTTACATTAACTTAAGCAAACAAAAAGAAGGAATATTGGGAATAGACATACATTATGTAAATTGTGTAAAAGGCTGTTATTTATTTTTGCCTGGAGAAGCACTTTAAGAAATGGAACTTGAAAATAAAACTCTTTTTTGTAGACTGCAAATGTTCTCAGCAATGGGCTTTAGATGCCATTTTCCCAGTGCCTTTGTCTGAAAAGGACAAATGATTAATAGGAATAGAAGAGGTGGAGCCATCACCAGAGGGGATCAATTAGAGAAGAGAACGTGAAGCAGACAGAAAAAAGCAGATGTGCATTAGCACATGTACATATACCAAAAGCAGCAGGATACAACATGAGTATAGTTGTCCAGCTTGGACCCAGACATAACTTTCCTGACTTCTCAACAAAAGTAGCTCCATTTTTCACAGTCACTTTTTAAACACAAAACAATAGCAATATATACAAAAAAATAAGATAAAATATTATTCAGTATTTGTTATTTTTAATAGTGAAATAACAAATATATTTTTTACAGGCTGAAAAGTGGGCTCTGTGGTCCACCACACTTAATATGATATGTGTCCTAATAATCAGATCCAAAAATGATCCTCTACCTGCAGACACCCTTTAGATGACCAATCTTGGAAAAACAAATTGGGGTTTCAAAATGAATTTTCCAGAATGGTCGTTTTTGGTCCCCTGATTCTGAGATGTCTACTGCATAAGATGTATGTCTGGCCAAAATGATTGTGAGTGTTTAGGGAGAGATCATGTGTAAGACATATCTTATGGCAGCTGGATCTTTTCTCCCCAATCCCATGCCTAAATAGCCGACAGACTTCAGAACATTGTAATTTTTGGTGCAGATAAAAAATGTATCGGTCTGGAGAAGGTGTGAACAAGCCCTAAAAGCTAATAGTCTTCACTTTCCAAGGAAATGTTCCCTTAAACTTAGTGAGTGACATGAAGTTCTGTTAACTAACATCATCCAACCATGCGTCAGCAAAAATTGTGTTTCTTTCCTTGCTTGTGATTGGGTATTCTTTCCAAAGCGAATTTTCACTAAGCTAAGCTAAAATTCCCTTGCAAAGTCAAAATTCCCTTGCAAAGTGAGCAATTTATTTGCCTTTAGTAAATCAACCCCATGACATAGCAACTGTAATAGTGTCCTGAACAATCACAAAATCGTGAACTCATTAAGCAATAAAATAATAATAAAAAATGAAATAATGAACAAAGTCATTTAAGCACAAGGTCAATTAACAATTAACATATAGTTCATTGAAATCATGCCCAATGCTATATATATATGTTCCAAACCTACACTAGCTCCTTGCTTCCTTTTAGCCTTAGTATTTAGACTAGGGATTGAAGAATGTATTCAGTTTTCTTAAATACTGTCAACACATGCTTATAATTTGCATTGTTTAGAAACTCTATACCATTTGTACAAACATCAGACTCTTTCTGCCATGATCTCTCGCAGCCAGTAAAACATTTGGCACTGATATGCTTTCAAAGCTCCAAGACACAAGCCCACACAGTAATATTAGAAGTCACATCTGGACAAAAGCCCCCTCTCCCCCACAAACAAAATGCAACAGGATGTGAAGATAGGATCGCTGAGCTGTAGCAGTGTCGCTGGAATACAAATGAGCAGTAAAGTGCCCCATGCAGAGCGGAGGAATTCAGCTGATCCTGGAGGAGTACTTGACGGGCACCTCTCTCATTCAAACCTAAGCAGCCTCTGCTTCTGTCACTATTCCTGGATTAAAACCCCATCACCCAGCACCCCCAGACACATCCATAGCATGCAATACTAGAACAGACATTGTGTGCAATCGCTGCTCAAAGTTTTTCTGCACTACTTTACTAAAATGGTGAAGGGCAAGGGTTAAAAGTGACTGTCATCCCACGCAAGCTCCAGCTATGTGGCCGCTGGTACCCCCCGCATCTCTCCATAGAAGTTCTCACCTCTGAGCTGGCACTGGACTCCAGCACACAGCAGCAAAACCAACAGCACCCGGCATGGCATTTCTAACTCTGCATAGAGTCCAAATCTGATCTGGCAGCTTCTTGGATGGAGGACAGGGAAGGGTGCCCGTGTACTGCTCCCAATTATTTATTTGTCATCCGTGATAGAGATCTCCGTGCTTTCCTTGCCAGCAGCTGCTTTTGCTTTGTCACCCAGGCAAACCTCTACTACTTCTCATTCAGGATCTTCACCCATCCAAAGTCCTCAGCTAAACTGCTTGGGGAGGGAGGGGGGGACTGTGGGCTGAACCATTCACTTCCACGGGGGCGTCTCCTCCGGGCACATAGCTATAGTATGTAATGGACCTATGCTTTTTTTCATTGTGTGAGCAGCAGGCTCTAATAAAAAAAGGATTTGCGCTGTCTGTGAGTTGTGGTCTGCAGAAATCTGCTCAGCATGCAGGATTCCACAACATACAGGGGAAAATGTACCCCCTCGGGGAAGATGGTGTGGTCCATTAGTGTCTGGTAGCTAAAGAAGCGAAGAGTTTAGTCCAGGAATGTCTGGCCTGTAGGCTGGGTATCTCACTAAAGGAATTGCTGAAAGAAATAAAATAGTGTCAATGTACAGTATGTTATTTATCCTTCTATATCTGCTGGCATGATATATATATTGTAATAAAGGTACTATACTGTCCTCCTTGTTCAATTATGGAAGTCCTTAAAGTGACACTAAACTCAGGATATACATTTTAAAAATGTATTCAAGTACCCTAACTGTGAACAAAAAAAATAACTTATTTATGTACCACTGGGCTGTAGATCCTCAAATAATCTCTGAATTGGTGCTGACACTGTCCTTCCTTCTGGAGGGTGGCTACTTTTGTTCCCCATGATCCCTGTGTGTGTTGTAATGTAGCCACTGCTCTAAGCTCGCTCCCTTGATCGACTACAATCTCAGATTTAGATTGCTAATCTGTTTTTAAGTTTTAGTGTATCGCAGGAGTGAGCTTGGAGCGGTGACTACTTTACAACACACACAGGGACCATGGGGAACAAAAGTAGCCACCCTCCAGAAGGAAGGACAGTGTCAGCGCCAATTCAGAGAGTATTTGAGGATCTACAGCTGAGCGATGCACAAAGAAGTTACGTTTTGTTAATAGTACTTTAAATGGGGTATTGATACTGCCTTCCTTTGCCTTTAAAGGGGGAGAGAGAGACTCCAATGGTGGGCACCAAACTCAAATAAGAATAAATACTGCCCGGGTGCACTGAAGGTAAATAGACATAAAACGGTCCAGTGAAAGAAAGCATA